AATGGGATCAGGGAATTCTTCTGCTTGTTCCATAATGGTGGATATGGAATAAGGCAGGTGTTGGGTGTGTGTGGTAAGAGTAAAGGCAGGTAAGAGTAGAGGTGGAGTGGTGAAGCAGAGGTTGTCACTTGGAGACTTGGTCTTCTGTTAGGGCAACACAGGCTGACTAAGTCTGCTCACCTAAGAGTGCCAAGAGTCTAAGCAGGCAACAAGGAAGTGGAGTAGACCTGATGACTAAGACCTATCTACAGTATAGGTATCTGTGGATGATCCTAAGAGACCAAGTCTGAAGAGACAGTCCCAGGCAGAGTAGGCCTTATATTTATACCTCTGTGGTGGAACCTGCTAGAACATCTTGCTTACTCAGCCTAGTCAGGTGATCAGGTCATATGACCAAGGATGAGGTCATATGAGGTCATGCACAGCCATGCACAGCAGGTCACCTGACCATCCAATCCTTCCAGCAGGTTCCAGCACATGCCAAGGTATACCAGCTACTTCCATGTCATAAAGGCTTAGTCATGTCTCTTGACCAAGCAATGAGCTGGTGCCCTGACAGCATCCATGCTGGGGTAGCAGAGTGGTTACACTTGATGCCAACAATTTGCTGGGTGCGGAGAATGTGATCAATGGTGTTGCAGCAGCCACACCAATGGCAATAGACTGGGAAGGCACCATTGACCTGACTTTGCCACCGCCAGAGCCTGTGCCCATCACTGTCAAGCTGCCGTCCTCCCCTGCCTGACTTCTGCTCCTGGAGGTGCTGGACAAGACATGGCCTGGGTTGCAGACTTTTAATGAAGTCACACACGACATCACCCGCATCCGTAGGTATACAAACAAGGCTACACTGGGCCATGTTCTTTGGGGCCAAGCCTTCAAGGAGGTGTATGGATTTGAGGGAAAGTACAAAACTTGGTATGAACATGCCAAGTTGTTGGAGTCTGCTGGCCTGAAGAAGCTCATCAAAAGGTTCAGTGAATGGCCAGGGAGTACATGGGCAAGGTTCCGGCTGCGTGCCTGGAGGAAGAATGACAGACATCTGAAGGATGGCAAGGTGGAGATGGATGAACAGGCTTGGTGGGTGGAGTCAGATGAAGAGGGAGAGTAAGAGAAGGGCCATGAACTGTAGTCATTGGTGAATTGACTGTGTAGAAATACAATAGACAGGCTTGGAGGTGATGTCCTCCAAGTCCTTTGTTTTTCTTGTTTTTTGTGTAGTAGTATAATTAATAATTACACAATGTCTAGATGGAGCACTAACTAATTGTATCTATCGGACTTACGTGTTCGGTGTTAGGCAGCACCGGCTATTGAATTGCTGAGCAATGCACCCTGCCCTGCCCGCTTGACGCGGAGCGGGATTAAATTACTAAGCTTAGGACCCTGACATCTGTATCCAGAGTCCAGACGTGCCCCAAAACCTGGATGCGCTCGGTCAGGGACCATCTCACAGCCACTGGGAAAAGGCCATCGTCCTGGCGACCAGAATACTTACTCGACCTGCGCGCGACCAGGAAGAGATATAGGAGAGCGGGCTCAGTAAAGTCTCTTCAACAGCGTATCTCATAAAGACTTCATTTCTGTATACTACAAGGCTATATCTTGAAATGGCTTCCATCGTGGACAAAGTGGCTGAGAAGGTTGGCGATCTAAGTCTGACTGGCGATAAGGGTGCGATATCTGCGAATACATCTCGAGCGAGCATATTGTTGACGAGTGACTCAGGTCCAGAAGTCTATGTTGATGAAGAGAAAGGCTCTGATGAGAAAGGGGCTGGCACCGTGGCGGCACCGTACGCAACCGCCGTACACGCTATGACCGTGAAAGGACACGACATCAACATCCTCACTCGCAAGAAGGATGCTCAAGAGTACCAGCCAATCACCAAATCTGCGCTAAAGAACGTCAAGAAGACTGTCGAGACTAACGAGAGAAAATCCAAGAAGGCAGCGGAGGAAGCAGAGAAAAACGCCAAGACTGCAGCAGAAGCCAAGGCGAGGGAAGAGAGGAGAATCGAAGAAAGCAAGAAGATCGTGTTGGTTGAGGATTCTAGCTTGCCAAAGCCGACAAGAGTACGTCTTTCTCCAGTATGTGAGAGTGGTGTGATCTCATGTCATTGCAGAGTAAGATTGAAGGACTTCAGCCTTTGAGAGAACAACGCGTCCGGGTTTTTGGCTGGGTGCATAGGTTGCGCCAGCAGAAAGAGATGACATTCATCGTGCTGCGTGACGGAACTGGCTTCCTGCAGTGTATCCTCGCCGGAAGATGTGTATGTTTCTCTTTTGGCACCTCGATCATGTGAGTGACCTTAATATCGTGACAGGCGCAAACATACGATGCCTTGATTCTCACGACGGAGAGCACTGTCGAGCTCGTTGGTACCGTCCAACCGGTCCCGGAAGGCAAGACCGCTCCCGGAGGCCATGAACTTATTGTAGATTTCTGGCGCACCCTTGGCGCCGCACCAGGCGGCGACGACGCCTTCAACAACAGGTTCAACGAGCAATCAGATGCTTCAGTGCTGGCTGACCTCCGTCATCTTACAATTCGGGGTGAAACCGCGGCTGCTGTATTACATGTACGCGCAGCTGTTCTGAACGCTTTCCGTACGACGTTTGTGAAGCACAGCCTGACTGAAGTTACCCCACCCTGCATGGTTCAAACGCAGGTAGAAGGCGGAAGTACTCTTTTTGAGTTCGACTACTATGGTCAAAAGGCATACTTAACCCAGAGTAGCCAGCTCTATCTTGAGACGTGTCTTCCCAGTCTAGGGGATGTTTTCTGTATTCAGGAGAGCTTCCGTGCTGAAAAGAGGTGAGAGTGACCTTCCTAAGAGAAACAATCATTTAACCCGTTACCCAGCTTGACAAGACGGCATCTCAGCGAGTATACGCATCTCGAAGCCGAGCTTTGCTTCATCACCTTCGACGATCTCATGACCCATATCGAGAACATTGTTCGTTGATTAGACTTTCCGCGCATTTCAGCGTTGACTTTCTTCCAGATTTGCGAAACAATCGACGTCCTTCTAAGTGATCCTCGCATGGCCGAGTTGGTTCAGATGTTGAACCCTGGATTCAAGCCGCCAAAGCGTCCTTTCCTTCGGATGGATTACAGGGACGCGATCAAGTATCTCAACGATCACGGAATCCAGCGTCCAGACGAGGTGACCGGAGAGATCGGCGACCACGTCATCGGAGATGATATCGCTGAAGCCGCTGAACGCCAAATGACAGATCAGCTCAACGTGCCCATCTTCCTCAACAAGTTCCCGAAAGAGATCAAGGCATTCTACATGAAGCCGATACCCGGTGACCCTAAATACACTGAGAGCGTTGACCTGCTCATGCCCGGTGTTGGTGAGATCGTAGGCGGCAGCATGAGGATTGCGGACATGCAAGAGCTGCTTAAAGCATACAAACGCGAGGGTATTGACCCAGAACCTTACTACTGGTTCACTGATCAGAGGAAGTACGGCACATGTGAGCATGGTGGTTATGGCCTCGGAGTGGAGCGTTTCCTCGCTTGGTTGACTAAGCGCTGGACCGTCCGCGAGTGTTCGCTCTATCCCCGCTGGATGGGTCGCGCAACCCCTTGATAGAAAGGTGTTCTGACCATTACTGTACCTCTTCGTTGAATTCCAATTACATACCCGTAGATGCTATCATATAATAAGGACTGATTGACTAGAACAATAACTCCGACAGAGTCATTTTGCGCCGCGCGTCCCTGGAATATCGCGGAAGCAAAATTCTAAGAGACGCGCAGGTCGTGCGTGTTAAAAGTGACCATCCACTCTTACAAGCACATCTGCAAAATGGCTCTGAGAGTACCGAAGGCAAATAACATCCAGTTGTTCAAGGAAGGATACAAGGTGTGTATTTTTCTATTACGTCTACTAGTTTGACTCACTGGTGCATGTAGCAAGTATCTGGGATTGACGAAGCCGTCCTCCGGAACATTGAGGCTGTATCTGAACTCTCGGACACGGTCCGAACGAGCTTTGGTCCAAATGGTGAGTTTAACGTCACCAATGCCTGAATGGTCGCTAAGAATCTTCAGGTCGGAACAAACTGATCATCAATCATCTTTCTAAGCTCTTCGTGACATCCGATGCCGCAACAATCCTACGAGAAATCGAGGTCGTTCACCCGGCTGCGAAACTGCTCGTCATGGCGTCTCAGGCACAAGAAGCGGAGATGGGAGACGCGACAAACTTCGTTTTGATCTTTGCTGGAGAGTTGCTTAAGAAGGCGGAACATCTGCTTGTCATGGGCCTTCATCCTAGTGAGGTGATTCAAGGGTACGAGCTGGCTCTCGCGAAAGCCCTGAAGGAGCTGGAAAGTGAGTAAGATGGCTATGATGGCTATTCCTGGTGAATACAATTACAAATCAACATGTAGATCTCAACGCGCACACGGTTCCAACACCTCCAACCCTGGATTCGCTCACTATTGCCCTCCGGCCGGCAATCGCGTCCAAGCAATATGGCTCGGAAGACACCCTTTCCTCACTTGTTGCCGAAGCCGCTCTCATCGTCATGCCTTCAAAGCCATCGAACTTCAATGTCGACAATGTACGCGTCGTGAAGATATTAGGAGGGAATATTTCGAGCTCGCGCGTCGTACGGGGTATGGTGTTTGGTCGGGAGACGGAGGGTATTATCAAGAATTTGGAAAAAGCCAAAGTCGCTGTGTACACTTGTGGCATCGATATCGCACAGACGGAGACAAAGGGCACGGTTTTGCTCAAGAACGCTGACCAGCTCTTGAATTTTTCGACCGGGGAGGAGAAGCACATGGAGAAGGCGAGTAACCTAATGCAATTCTCCCTTCTCCCTGCTAACAAATTATCGACAGATCCTAAAAGAGATCGCGGATTCCGGTGTCAAGATGATCGTTGCTGGCGCAGGTGTCGGAGAGCTTGCCCTGCACTATCTCGACCGCTTGAACATCGCCGTTCTCAAAGTGCTTTCCAAATTCGATCTTCGCAGGCTATGCCGTGTCGTCGGCGCCACACCCCTTGCCCGTCTAGGTGCGCCAACGTCAGAAGAAGCGGGATACGTGGACGTCATGGAGACAACTGAGATCGGTTCTGATCGCGTGACGGTGCTCCGGCAAGAGAAGGGGGAGACGACAAAGACCGCGACGATCGTTCTCCGAGGCGCAACCACAAACCTCCTGGACGATCTGGAGCGTGCCGTAGATGACGGTGTCAACGTCATCAAGGCGTTGGTCAAAGAAGGCCGGATGGTTCCTGGAGCTGGGGCCACCGAGCTGGAGCTGGCGCGCAGAGTGGAGGCATACGGTGCTGGTCTCAGGGGCCTGAACCAGCATGCAGTCAGGCGGTATGCGACTGCGCTGGAGGTGGTCGTGAATACATTGGCAGAGAACGCTGGGCTGCAAACGAGCGAAGTGGTGAGCAGGCTCTACGCTCTTCATGCAGATCGGGGACCCTCTTGGGGTGTCGACATAGAGGTATGTCATCTTAAACGCCACGATCGGAATGAATGTTAACGAGTACTAGGGGGAAAACAACGGAACAGTTGACGCTACGGAAGCGCAGATCTTCGACTCTCTGGCTGCCAAAGCATGGGCAATCCGGCTGGCTACGGAAGCAGCAGTGTCTGTTCTCCGAGTAGACAGCATCATCATGTCCAAGCCTGCTGGTGGACCGAAGATACCACAACAGCAGGGTGGGCAGGACTGGGATGAGGATTAAAGAGGGATAGTAGACCTAGGATACGTCCAGATTATCCACAATTCTAATGCGAGTGGTGCATGTTGTACCAAGGTGGGAGTGTTGTCTGCTTGCGGGCACTGGTCCTCTCAGCACCTTCCTGGTGATCCCTGTGTTGCATACCTCCACACGTTCCCAGTGATTTCTGTTGTGTCCCTTTGGCTCGAGGCGTTGACATGTCAGACATGGAACAGATGGTTCAGTGATCGGTGGACGGAATGTATGATTAAGCTCCTGAGGTTCATCACTGTTAGCTTACGGCTCAGACTGACTCTACTCCTTACAAGCTCTGTACGTACCGTCTACAGTGCAATAGGATAACGGTCTCTGAGAAAGAATAATGAAACAACAACACGACAAACAAATAAAAACCAACAACACCAATGTCGCCCGCAACATGCGTCACCCTCCACCTCCAGATCAGCTCATCCCTCATCCCTCTCCCACCTCCTTCTTCTGCCACTGCCGGCCCCCACCCTGTCCAGCCGTGATCTGTTCCCACCAATCCTGCTTCAAGCATCCCCTCTCCCCCTCACTCAAGAGGCACCTCGCCACTCCCTGGGCCGCCTTCCTCCCCTCAGTCCAAGCGCCCTGCAAGTACCCAAGATACTCGTAAGACGTCGCTTCGCCCGCAAAGAGCAGGCGGGCGGAGAGCGCCGCGCGGAGGTTGGTCTGCGCTGCGGGGAGGTAGGAAGCTGGCCAGTTGCTGTATGACCCTCTTGTGTAAGGGTTGGCGTGCCACCTGCGGGGAAACGGTCAGCGGGGACGTGCGTATGTACCTGTGTGCGTGGACAGACCTGTGGAAGTAGAACGCCGTGCACTCGCTGACGTTCTCTGCGCCGTACATCTCCCTTAACACCTCCAGCACCTCCTGCTTGACCTCCTCATCTCTCATCCCCTCGACCCTCACGCTCTCCTCATCCGTCAGAGTAGTAAACAGTATCCTACTCCCCTCCAGAAAGCCCGGCACGTCAAGCGACTGGAACTGGGCATAATACCCCCTCCTCGGGGAAGCATATAGCTGAAACTCGGATTCCGCCCAGAACTTACTCGAGAACTGGAGGAAGATCTTCGTGTATGTCGACATGGAGAACCCGTCTATGGCATCGGATTTCCAGCGCGGGAGCGGGGGATGGAACGTCACCGCTGCCCAAGGGGTTAGCGCCTCGACGCCCTACACAGGGAAGAACGCACCTTTGGACTGTAACACCCCTACGGAAAAGGTACATATCGCGTACTCCGCACGTACCCTCTTCCCGTCAAGCACGGCCTCCACTCCTTGGTCAGAATAATGCAGTTCTCTCACAGGCTCGCCGAGCAACAGCCGCCCGCGGCGTTCGGCAGGGAGGGAGAAATACGGCTCGGTAGCGATGGCTACGAACCCCCTGGGATCGTGGATCAGGTATTCTTCGTCTGAGAAACCGTGGTATGTCTGTTCGAGGATCAGGTGGTTCGCTCAGGGGACAGGGGAGAAGGGCGCACATGATAGTGGTTATTAGCGATCTCGAACCAGGAACTCTCATCCGGGTTCTGCTGGCTCTCCATATCAAAGTTCCAGAACTCGACGCTACCCCCACTCCCGCATCAGTGGTTCTCTTCCCGAGGCAGAAGCAGTCAACCCACCTGCGACGAATATGATCCCCCGGTGTCCAGCCTGCGATCCTTAGCCCAGCACGAGCAGTCATATCCCCATCTCCTCTCGCCTGCCTCTCCCTCCCCAGCAAGAGGAACTTCTCCCACGCCTTCTCCCATTCCTCCCATACCCGGCTCACGTCCACCCTTCCCTGACGATCAAACGCCTCCGGCACCAAGCCCGAGGCGCTGGGAGTGGCGTTCAGCCCGAGCTGGCGAACGAGTGTCCATATAGGGTTTACGAGCCCCGTGCTTGGGTTCTCGACCCCGTGTACCCAGTTGGCGCCTGCTTCGACGAGGTATGGTTTGCCTGTTGCCTGATCGAGCCCGAAGGGGACGGAGTGCAGCCTCCCCCCGAGAAAACGCTGGGCTTCGACGATCAGGTAGTCGGTGATGTTGTATTCCGTGGCGAGGGCGTGTGCTGCTGATAAGCCCGCTAGCCCACCGCCGAGGATGAGTACGGTTGTATTTTCTGTCTGTGGGAGTTGGGGTATACTCGACGGGTCACTTGGTGTGAACGGGGGAGAGGGGAGACCGTTGAGCAGCGCTTAGAGAGAGAAGAAGTAAGCACGTGATGTGATGTTGAGGGAAGGTGTTACCCTGGGAGTCATGTGTTGGTGCCGCGAGAGTGCAGAGAGCGGCAAAGAGATGAGAGAAGAAGTGGAATGGCGTCATGTCTCTGAGTGTCTCGGGGGACGGGTGGAGGAGCAGACGAGGCTGGTGTTGAATAGGAGGTGAGAGGGAGGTAGATATAGGCAGAAGGTGTATGCCCTAATTCTACCGTGTTATGCGGCGATGAGACGGGAGAGGAGAACGAGCGTAAGCATGCCCCCTTCCCCGATCAGGGTGTCGCAGGCGGTTTAAGGGCACGCGGATCGCCTTACGTGCGGGTGAGTGATGGACGGCCGGCATGCGTGTGGATGTATGCGCCGATCGAGCGGGCTCGGAACAGTCGGAATGGCGTAGAGAGGGGCTATTATGCACCTCTCACTCTCGGGAATGTCCACCGGAGGGATGGGCCGGGTTATGAGACATAAAAGGGAGTGGAGATGATTAGGTTTCTATGGGTCGTAGGCAATCAGGTTGCTGGTGAGAAGCAGACTGAGTGGAATCGCTGCGAAGTTGGGAGTAATCGGAATGGTTGCCATCGGGAGAAAGGGGATTGGTGCGGAGGCAGATTGAGGACGTCATACAAGGGTCTGTTGTGATTGGCGGGCGAAGAAGGCGCAGAGTGTGTGGGGTATGTAAGTGATTGTGGGGTATCAACAATAGTTTAGTATCGTTAGTGATATCCATGGTAGTAGATAAAGTTGAAAGTGTTTGTAGGGACAAGCGAGTCATGTTCAGCGAACCCGTATAAACGTGCGTATTACGACATGCCCCACTTCACCTTATTTTCGTCCCTTGGCACCCTGACATCTCTCAGTCCCTTCTCTCTCAGCCTCTTAACTCTTCTTATCTCTATACCCTTCAATGGCCTACGATCCCACCCCCTACGCATCTCGAGCGACCTCCCCCTCTCCCTCCTCATCCCGCTTCCCCCAGCCAACCTACTCCCGCCGTCTCTCATCCTCCATATCCGAAGAGTCCCCCCTCCTAGCTTCAGAGCGAAGGAGGACAAGCAAGTCTCCCCGTCCCAGTACGGGTTCGGAAGAACTGGGAGATATAAACGAACTGGGAGAGCCGGCGGCAGGAAGATGGACCGCGAGGTGGTGGTGGGGACGCATGAGGTATTACGTGCCAGCTACGAAGTGGATGGTGGAATACAAGCTCGAGTCGTCCGTCATTTCCTTCATTCCCTAGTTCGTTACTCACCTCAGAGCAGTCTATGGGGCGACACAGTAGCCGCGATAACAGTAGCAGCAGTCATCATCCCCCTCTCACTGTCCTACGCTTCCTCTCTCGCACACGTAGACCCCTTCTCCGGCCTTTTCGCAGCCGCCATCCAGCCGCTCGTCTACTCCCTCCTCGGCAGCTGCGCGCACCTCTCCGTCGGACCTGAGGGATCTCTTTCCCTCCTGGTGGGCCAAGCGATCCAGAGAGTGTGGCATGATGATCCTCACTCGGGGGACGACTTTGCAGAGATCGCAGCTGAGGTAGCGACGATGATCACTTTCCAAGTTGGGGCGATTAGTCTCTTGCTAGGCCTGCTCAGGCTGGGGTTTATAGATGTCGTCCTTAGCCGGAGTCTGTTGAGGGGGTTTGTCACTGCTGTTGTGCGTCCTTAGTCACATGTCCCTTCTTCGCTGACAGGAAACAGTCTTTGGTCATCGTCATAGAACAGCTTGTGCCAATGTATGTTCCATTCCTCCGGCAGATACCCAGCTGACTCTCCGCAGGCTAGGTCTCCAAAGCATCTACGCCAACGTCGACCTCCACACAGCGCTCGACAAGCTCATATTCCTCCTCCAGCACCTAGGCTCCTCGCATATCCCCACGACCATCCTCAGCCTATGCAGTATGGCATTCCTCATCCTCACGCGCACTGTCAAGACGCACTATAAAAAACGGTTCACGCCGCTGATGTACCTTCCCGAGATCCTCATCTGTGTTGTCGTCACTACGAGTGCGTCCCCCCTTTCCTTCTGTTTCTCCTCTCTTTAACCTTGTATTGGCAGTCCTGTGTGGCACACTTGACTGGCAATCCCGAGGAATCGAAGTGCTCGGCCCAGTCTCCATCTCCCAACGGAAATCCTTCCTCGCTCTTCCCCTACAACGCAAAAACCTGCGATTCTTCAAACAAACCTTCCCAACCGCCATCTTCTGCTCCATAATAGGCTTCATCGATTCCGTCGTAGCCGCAAAACAGAACGCACAGCGTTTCCGTTATTCTGTCAGTCCGAACCGGGAACTCACTGCCCTCGGGGCGGGGAACGTCGTTGCGAGCTTTGTGCCGAGTACGCTGCCGGCTTATGGCGCGATTACGAGGAGCAGGCTGGCAGCGGACACTGGAGGAAAGACACCTATGACGAGCTTGATCCTCAGTGTCATCGTCCTCCTCTCCATAAGGTTCCTCTTGCCGGCACTGTACTTCCTGCCCAAGGCGGTCCTGGCATGCATGTATGTACACTGCCCCTCGTACCTGGAAGATGACTGACGCGCGCAGTATCTGCCTCGTCGTGTACACCATCATCGCCGAGATGCCGGAAGACATCCTCTTCTACTGGAAGTGCGTGCCCCCTCTTCCCCTGTCGAACGTTTTCTCATCCAGCAGCGCAGGATGAGCGCTTGGAGCGATATGATCCTCATGCTGCTAACGTTCTTCCTCACCCTCGTCTGGTCCGTAGAAGTAGGCATAGGGATCCCTTTCGCACTCACGATCCTCCTCGTCATACGTCAGTCCTCACAGCAGAGGATAAAGATCATGGCCCGCGAACCGGGCACGACGCACTACGTGCCTATCGACGAGGACTTCCCCATGGAACTGGAGGATACGAGCGGGGTGCTCGTTGTCCGCATATGTGAGAACCTGAACTTTGGTACGTTGACCCCGCATTTCGCATTTCGCGTTTCACGGTGAGGGTGCTGAATACGGACAGTGAATACCGGGTCGATGAAGGAACGGCTCAGGAGACTGGAACTGTACGGGAATAGTAAACATCATCCGTCTGATGCGCGTGCGTCTCTCTTCTGCGTATGTACTATCGGATCCCCCTGACCACGCATAGCCGTACGAGCAGAAGCGGTTGCTGTCGTCTTCCAGCTCGCAGACGTAGAAGAGATGGACGCGTCGTACGTCCCCCTTTCCCTTTCCCCTCCCCTTCCCCGCTCCTGCCGTCTCACCTAACGCCTCGCAGCGCCGTCCAGATCTTCCGCGAACTAGCAGAAACATACTCCAGCCGCGGCGTCTGCGTGTGCTTCGCACGTGTGAGACCGGCACAGATGTCAGCTCTGAGGAAAGCGGGAGTGGTCCTGTTTTTGGGGGAGGACCATTTTTTTCCTACTACGGCGGCTGCGGTGGGGTTTGTGGAGAGGGAGAGGCATGGGGAGCGCTGAGCGCTCTGCTGAGCGTAACGGTGAGCGGTGAGTGGGTGGGTGGGAGGTTGGACTGATTGCGGGGTTGATGGGTGTATAGTACTTTATGATGTATTTGCTTCGTATTTTACCCGTTACTGTAATGGACGTCTTTGACATCCAGGCACGTGATAGCACGTGTTCCCTACGCGCGGAATGTGGGACTAGACAACTTGGCTTGCATTCCTGTGACTCTGCTGGGAACATGATCGACGATTCTCGATGCCTCGTGTATGCAATATATGCTAGTTGCACCAGTTAAAAGGCGAAACACGATACATGGAGCTGGATCAGGACCTGACTTGGAGGGAACGCGATTTGGAGTGACTGGGACGCGACTGGCGCGAATGGACTGGATGCGGGGTAAACACTGGGATTGTCGCGTATAACTCTGGGGTTCTGGGTTGGGAGGGTTTGTCCTCCTCTTCCACCATGTTATATCGAGACCCTTCTTCCTTTCTACAGCGCCGACTGCTCCGTGTACAACCAACGTGTCCTCCCCTCGTCGGACTTGTCTGACACCAGCCCACGGAAGTGCTTGATCCCCTCCTCCCTCTGTTCAACAAGGGCAAGTACGTTGTTCTTTGTACTGCTACTGGCCATCTATGACACAACGGCACAGTTGGGGGACAGCCTTCAGCGGGCCTTGGTCGCACGCATACATACCAGGTGCACCAGGTGCCCCGCACACCTCGCTCAACCACCCTATCGCATATCCAGACTCCTGTCTATAAGGTGAGGCAGAGGACTCTTTGTAATGAAGCTTTGATCTGACCCATCCATCAGGCCGATGTTCCGGTCAGGGGCTTTAACAGCATATACTGTGCACGCCTCTGAGCAAGTCCCCCGCCCTCAGGCACCGTGATTTCTGACAGACCAACATCCTGTATAAGGTCGGCAGAATGCCGCGCACGCATAAGGAGAAGTGTTTCCTGATAGTTTTCCAGTACGCATAAAGGTACCGCGTATTACGAGTTGACTTCTTTTCCCAGCGAGGAAGAATTCACATTGTGTTACGCACTTCCATCCGGAGTCCGTTTCTGCTTCATGATCTCCACGCCAGCATTTTCGTGTCCAAGCTCGCTCGTATCATCCTCAGTTGTGGGACCCACAAGCGGTAACGACACAGAGCTAGCCTATATTTAAGGTGCGCTTCCTATACGATTCGAGCTCTCTACAGTCCTTACATAGGCACCCAGGTCAACTATCTATTTACTTCGGAATGGAGTCGCGACCATGTCGAACGATTGACGATCCTGCAACTGTCATCCGCTGGAGGTCCCCCGGAACAATGAATGCATGGATGCTTACAACGAAGAGCGGCCACGACCAGCGAGCTAACGCTTAGCTCTCCCCTTCGTCTCTTCACGACGACTGAGTGTGAGGCCAGGGCTTCAAGACGATGATTGTGCCTGCAAGTGGTGTGATACCCGATCAACTGGTCAACTGGTCGTCAAGCACTCAAATCTGATTCCGCTTTTCACGTGTTTTTATTGGACAGCAGAGCACAGCCCCCTAGTACTCGGGGTTGGTCCTGTGGTCTTTTATTGTTCTTGCCACGCAGACGATCACTGGCGTTGCTCGCACTTATGGCCTTGTTGTCTGGTGGACCTATTGTCTGGCGCTGCTTCTGCTGCGTGATGAATGAACGAGCCAATCTTGGATTAGGGTGTGAAAGAGAACGGAAGGCCAGCGAAGGTTAGGAGGTTTCACTGGCCCTTTGCCTCTTGAAAGCGGACAGACATCTCTTCCAACTTGCCCTTCTTCCACCACAACCATCTCAATTTTCCCCAACTGACAAGTGTTGACTTCACTCTGTCGTTGTGCTACAGATTACACTGCTGGACTGTGCGATATCTGCTTGACGCTCATCAACATTATCTCGTCGACTGGTATTTGCTCCTGCTTGCCTGCTGTCTTCACAGCGCCGTTGTACTTTCATTCGACCTGGTGGTTCACCCACACGTTCACTCATAATGGCTGCTACAACACGCACGTCGCCCCTTCCATCGTCTCCCAAGGTGGTGCCACCGCAACTACGACATTCTTGGACACAGTCCACGCACAGTGTGGACACCCTCCTGTCCCACCAATCGTCATCTCGGTTCCACGAGCACCTCGGTTCTCCAACCACTCCAGCAAAGCCCGATTCAGATCCTATCTCTCGTGTTGGTACCATGTTCATCCCTTCAATGCTGTTCTCTGCGAGTGTTCCCTTGCCTCCTCAAAAGCCTCCTCGTTCCCCTCCCCGACCGGTACGACCCATGCGCCCCCCAACCCCCGACCTCATCATGCCCTCATCAGCCGTCTATGGGGATATTGCATTCAAATTCTCTCCTGATACGCCGACTTCTCCGGTATTCCCATCGACAGTCTTCCGCTTTCCCAAGTCACCGATTAAGGACCGCACTGTGGAGAATGTTGATATCGAGCGCGGGCAAACAGAGCCCGTGACTGTATCACGCAACCAGAGCGCGCTGTCCCATCGCCTGAGCAGGAAGATCGAATCCGTCCGACAATTCGTCAACCTTCCGTATCCGTTTCACGCGCCGCTTCCTCCGCCGATAATAATGCCTGAATTGAAGAGGCCAACGTATGACCGGCTGGAAACCCCTCTGACAGACACTTCTCCTCTCTCGCCCTCAAGCAAGCGTTCCTCCGGCAGCCTTCGACCTCTCGTCGTTGTTCCTCAACCTCTGTATCCAGTGCCTAATCATGGGTATCCGAGGCGGATGAGCGTCGCCCTGCCAATCAACATTGATATTGAGTATCATGAGAAGCAGGCACGAGGCATGTTCGATAGACATGGTCGCCCAGTGAAGGATGAGAGATCCAAGAAGGACGTGGACAAGAAGAAGAGACGTCGTATGTGTATCATCATCCTGTTGATCATCCTCATCATCATTGCCGCGACACTCGGAGGTGTGTTCGGTACTCGCGCAAGGACGTCGACTTCCAGTTCAACAACCTCTTCGAATGTGACCGTATATTCTCCGCCGCCTGTTGTGACTTTTACCGTGGAGCCGACTTTTTCTTCAGTTGTCCTTTCAGGCACAACGTATTTGACCACAGCGTCAGCAACAGTGACATACACGACAACACCAAGCCCTTCGACTGTCACTACATCACCAACAGCATTTGCCCAACCGCTCAGTCCAGCCGTTCAGAACTGCCTCACACAATTCCAGGTCTCAGCACCCAGCAATCCGCAAAACTATCCTTGCGGAACCTGCTCATCTCTTCTCGCCACATTGCCTAACGACCTTGCCCCTGGTTTTGTTCCACAGTCCAGGGATCCGAACACGGGCGGTGTCTCGGTTGGCCAGATTCTCCAGTTTTGCTCCTTGCAAACGCTTTTCCTCGCTGCAGCTAACTCAACGTCGTCGAATCCGCTCAAGAACGAGGGCTGGATGTCCAACTTGAATCCATGCACTGCATGGTCTGGCGTAACCTGCGATGCAGCAGGTCGAGTGACCCAATTGACGATGACGTTCCCGGCTGTACCGCAGACCCTGTCGGAAGACTCCATGAGCGGCTTCGTTGCATTGCAGGGTCTGCAAATCACGGGGAATGGGCAGGTGCCGGGTGAGCCATTCTCATGTACAAGCAGGCATCTCTTGCTGACTATAATCCTGCCCAGCTGGCTCACTTCCACAGAGTCTTCTCCAACTCAGCGGACTCGTGACTCTTCAACTGCAGACAACAGGTTTCGGCCCATTGCCGGACAATGCGTTCGACGCCCTTAAGTCACTGCAGTGGCTCACTCTGGCGGGTAATTCTAACCTCGGGCAGACACTGCCGAGTTCAATCACCGAACTTCCTTTGACTTCCCTGTACGAAATTCTCTAATTTGTACCATTCCCGAAGGCTGACTTGTATTAGTATCGTCAACGGCCAGAACCTGGAGATGAATCTTGCGACCCTGCTCTCACCAACGGCGTCTTTTGCGACTACTCTGCAAATGCTGGATCTATCCGTAAACGCCCTCTCTTCCTCCTTCCCGAGTTCCCTCGCCGCTTTCACTTCCCTCGTTGACATCAACCTATCGAGTAACGATCTGACCTCTCTACCGCCCACCCTACCGACCTCGCTCAGAGTGCTAGATTTGCATATGAACACAGCGCTGAAGGGAACCCTGCCAAGTCAGGTGTGTACGATGGGTTTGCAGAGCTGCAACTTCAAGGAAACAGCTGTAACGACCAGTGGCAGCTGCGGGGTATGTCAGTTTGGATCGACTTAGTTGTAGTTCCAGGGATGATATCGGTACGGACCTCATGATTTATCGTTGGACTTCGAGCGCATACACGATTAATTCACCATATACACTGGACTATCCATTTGTGTTATCATTTTCCCGTTCGTCACATTACCCCGCATCATCGTTGTTATGCCAAGGCGGCTAGGTACATACGTATGTAGTAATCCAACTTCTGTGCAGATCATAGATCCAGAGCGAACTCCCGTCCGTCTTAAGCCTGGGGTGTTGAGGCCGCTGTAAGCCGAAGGCACTCCGAGACGAGGAATAATCGTATTTGCAGCAAGGCCGTCGGTCTACGCATGACAAAAAGTCCGCTCAGTCAACATGACACCATCCCCGCGAGAAAATCTCATCCAGAATTATACTATTGCCCCAATATAAGCACTGAGCGTAGTTTGCGAAGGGTATTCCGTCGCCGACTGGTCGCTGCTTCCCACGCAAAAGGCCCTTCGAGGATCCACAGCCTTCACTCAGTGCACCACTTGCCCATCACCAGTGGTAATGTCATTGGTCTCCCCATCAATCCACGAACAAACAAACCTCAACATTTCCGTCCTTTCTGGCTCCATAAAGCTATGCCTCATCAGCCCTCTGTCATGATTGAATTTTCACGAGCACGTACCACATGATCATACAGTCGTGTGGACATCCTTCCCATCCCTGTACATGAGGAGTACGCCGTCCCGCACCATCCTGCGCTTGAGTGTGCGGATCTCATCGAGGATCATCTCCACCGAGCCAGCGATAAGGAGCGTCCGTGGCCAATGAAGGAAAGTCGCGTTATTTCCGTCTTCTGGGGCCCCATCCATTTCCCGGTGCTGGTCACTACCGCCTGGTTGCTGTTCTCCAGGACTCAGAGCGCCGGGAGAGATCTACGGACACCAAGGTGATACACTCCCGCAGAAGGCATGAACTGAATAGCTGAAGATGCTCTCCTCTAACCCGAGCAGGTAGTCTGTCTTGTAGTTCCGAAACTGCGAGCTCTCGGGATAGTGGTGTGATTCTGTCAGGTCGCATGCGGGGCTTAGGAGAATGAGTCCTCCTAGTACAGGCCCGAGAGACTCGACCTCGACGAGGTACTTGCATAGCGCCATGGCGAGGTTACCACCTGAGGAATCGCCAGCGATGATGATTTCCCTGGGTGAGAAGCCAAGGGAGAGAAGGTAGCGGAAGCTGGAGAGGGCGTCTAGTAGCGCGGCTGGGAAGGGGTTGGCGGCTGGGTTGGGAGAGCCGGAAGAGAGTCGGTAGTCTACGGACAAACAGGCGCAGAGCTCGTGCGAGTGATGGATACTGTTGAGCGGGAAGTAGGAAGTCATCTCAGAGGGATGGGCGCTCCCCATCTACGGTAGCGGGAAAATGGGCGTTAGCAACGGTAAATGGTAGGACATCGAACACACAGGATATAAGAACCTCCATGAAGGAAGAGCATGACCTTCCCTCCTTCTCTTCTCTCCTTACCCAAGGTCGTCTTCTTCTCTCGCTCCACTTCGTCCCCAACCCAGTATCCCCTCACCCTCACCCCCTTTACGCCCGCTTGCTCAGCCCACCCACCCACGGGCTCCGAGACTTCTTTCACATCAACAGGGTCGATCCACACAAGTCGAGCATTGTATTTTTTCAACTGTGCGAGATCTCTTCTTGTCGGAGGTTCGGAGAAGTGCGCGTGGGGCAGCGCGTTGCCCCTGTAGAGGGTCTTCATACCCCATCTGATGAGCTGCGCTCCGACAGTCCGGCGCAGCGTCCAGGAGGGAAGAGGTCGACCAGAGGGAAGGAGATAGCGGACATTCCAGTACAGGTATGACGGAGGCAAGAGCAGGATCTGCTTGGTTAACCAAAGACCTCGAGCAGGCTGGGTATTGTAGATTGGGCTCCTGACGGAGCTCCTGCTTGCCTGAGTTTCCTTCGTTTGTGAATGCGATCCTCGCAGCGGTGTATTCTCAGAGGTAGATGTGGATACGGCGGGGAAGTCGTCGCCCATTGTTGGTGGGCGTCGATAACGAGTTGGCCATCATCTCTGCCCGGTTCATGTTGGTGGTCGTTCCTAAATTGCCAGGGACTAGAATGTGAGGACGGCTGCGCAACTTCATTCCCCCACCCATGTCTAAATTGTCTATCTACATCATCTACCAACCCGGACAGTTTAACAAACGTTGCAAACATTGCTCCTGTGGCTTGGATAGTTCTAACGAAACCTGGCAACATCGGCACAGTATGTAATGGGACGCGTACCGAGCTGGTCAGACATTACTGGTTGGGCACCGCTGGTGGGTCGCTCGTTTCCCACCAACCCGGCAGTAAATACCCGGCAGTGAATACCCTTTGGCTGGAATACAATTGTCACAACTGTTTGCGATGCGGGAGCTGAGTTGGACTTGACTGGACTATCAGTGGTTTCTATTTGCCATCGATCCGGGTCGAGACTTCCCGCCAAGAGGTCCTAATTGGCTATGTTCAAAGAACCTCAGATATCACGCCGAGGAACTTGAGATTGCCTAACTCAGTCGGATGCCCGACCTCGCTGCCCCGAAAGGCGCTAAAAACGAAGAAAGGCTAATCACAGTGTCATCATCGACGAGTTGACCAGGTACTAAATTTTCACCTACAGGCACTTGGAGGAAGCACACACACCGCGTGTATACATAAAGAAGCAGTTCTTTCAGGGGGTCAGTACCGTTCTCAGTGTACAAATACGTCAGCTTTCATTGGCAGACTCTGAAACTTCTCCGCCGTAAGAAGGTGCTATCTAGCGGGACAACGAACTCCGTCTTTGCAAACGCAACAAACGGAACTGACGTCTTCAGATTGCCAGTCGGTGTGGAGAAATATTCAAAAGGTTCATGGCGATAACAGGTACGAGCGGTTCCGTTCTTTCTCCCTCGGCGTCCGAGCTGGATTTCGTGGGGATAGTGACCAAGTTGTGTACCTCCAGCGAACCAAGAAGCGTCTGAAGATCTCGACACTTCTTAGAACCTCTTAGGGCCCTTCCTTCCTTGTTGGAGATGGAGACCGCTTTGTTGCCTGACGTGATCTGTCATCCGGTAAATTGTTATGGGTCACCTCAGAGCAGATAACAGAGCAGGATTTTTGGCCTCTCCCTTCGCCTATTTAGTGCATTGGATGAGGGGAAAATCATCATGTGCTCTTTGCTTTGCTGACGTATTTTTGTAGCACCGAGGTTTTCCCTCTCCGACATTGCTCCTGGGATTGTCCAACAAAAACTCGAAAATCGAAAGAGTCCCATTCACAAACACAACTGCAGCTGGCAGTGCTATGAACTGATGCCATCATCTCACATTCACGTCGTTGGGATGCGAACACGTGCGTTCATTCCCTGTTGTGATTGTCACTTTGTCATGACATCACATCAGTGTAGCCAGCATGATAATCTCTCGAGAAGTCTGGGGAAGAGCGCATGATTAACTCTCAACATGCTATGCAGTGAGTACAAAAACATAGGCATTGATTATTGTCATTATAACGCGAGATCCTGCAGATGTGGACTGCTGGCAGACTGCCACTACGACCCGCAGGGAATTGCTACGGCGAATATACTGCAACCCTGACTTCATCACATGTTGCGAACACTTGTTCTTCGCTTCCTCTTGTAAGGGGATTGACAAAGAAGCACCTATCCCTCCTTCGCAAAAACGTGTACCTGCATCTTGCACATGGAGCACGCCGAGCAGTATCGTTCAAGATTACTAGGGGAGCCCGTCTCGCTTCGCTCATCGTTTTCAGTGCAAGTATATTTTTTCCATGTCTCCTCTCTCCCGCATCCCAACTCTCATCTCCCATGTCCCATGTCCTGTGTCCCGTGTCCCATCTCCCATCTCCCATCTCCCATCTCCCGTCTCCCGTCTCCCATCTCCCATCTCCCATCTCCCGTCTCCTGTCTCCTGTGGCCATCTCCCATGTCCCATTGATCCAACCCAAGAGGTGTCCGAATATCCATGGTCTGAATATATCAGTCTGCTGGGAGGTGTGCAAGTTCTTGCAGCTATGGGGGTATACTGGTGTCAGTTAACAGGTATGTTCATTTGTTCAGTAAATCGGTCAGGTAACAGTAAGTCAGTCAGTTTCAGCCACTGCTGTACAGTCAATAATCAGTACACAAAATTTGGAAGTCAGTCTCAGATCAGTCAAAGTCAAGTTAGGTCAAGTGTACTTCCTACCAATATCAGGATAATCGGATCCATATAAGGCAACTCTCAGGTAGAGGGGAAGATAACTAAGTACAGTGGATTCTGGGATGTGCTTATACTCTCTGCTCTAGGCTGTGCAAAACACTCTCCTTGTATCCATGCATGTAGCCAGGCTGGTTTTTGTATACCTGAATATTCAGAAGGGCAGTGCTTATTGTGGGGGTTCATGGTGCTTGTTGTGAGGGTCTGCAGCACTATGCAATGCTTGGCAGTGTTCTGAATTACCATGGGAATGTCAGCCTGACACACCCTGCTGGAGGCGGGATTGTTCACCATGTCCTGTGTCCCATGTCCAATGTCCCATCTCCTGTGTGCCATTTCCCATCTTCTTTTCAGTCTGCCTGGCACTGCAGTCAACATGCATCATGTGTGCTGTACCTTGCATGCATATATCTAATATATTATCTGTTGAATATTATTAGGGGATATGGGTTAGAGGTAGGGTTTAATAAGGGCAGGGTTAAGTAACCCTCAGCCTGCTAGGGTCCCACACTGCCGCAGTGGAAGCAGATTTAGCTCCACTTCCAAATTTGGACTTAGGGTCCGGATTTACTTCCCTACTCACACGTGGTGCCACGCGAACCACGTGCTTTTCGCGCGTGGTTTTGCCCCCGGCTTCTTGCCATTTGCTTCAGTATAGTTAATTAGTGGACCCGGCACCATGGTATTGGTAATCGTGATCATCGAATGACCTGAAGACTGGCCTTCTGGTAGGCACTACTCCATATTCTATGTCTCTCAATGGTATGACAAGTGTCCAGTTGGCGACATCAGTAGTCAGGCGCGCAGCGTTGCTCCCGATGTATCCTCTTACATTGCGCACGAGGCAGCTTGAATGAAGCAGTAGAAAATGAACATGTGGTGATAATTGAAGGAACCCTAGTTACGCATGAACCAATGGAAGACGTGGATAGATTGATACTCTATTCTGAAATGTAGTCGTTTGTGGCGCATGGACCAATTATTCAAACATATGGGACACAGTCCTGTTCATACTCCGCACCTCTCGAAGTTTCCACTTGACAAACGGCGAAGAACATACATGGAAGGACCTTTGGGTCTTAATCATGTAGCCACAACCGAGTAAGGGAGGCCCTGATATTGTTGTCGCCTTGTCCGCGGCGGAACCCTGAAAATCGATCACAGAGACTCTCCAACTTCCAAGATTCTTGTCTTGTGTGGCTTCCTCAAACGCCAGTTGGAGCAGAGGGCAATGTGGAAATGTGACGTAGAGATTTGATTCCCATGCCGAGTTGTGGCCACATGCATTATGTTCCATTTGTGCGAATAAGCATGCGCTGTTGCTATGCCCCTGCGACAGGTCTGTTCAGGTTGCGATACCACCCCAAGGGCGGATCATGGGTAGGATAGGTCGAATATAAGAGACGGGTAACTTGATCGTGGATCGTGAGCGACAAGCGAGGGTGTCTTTCCACGCCCTGTACTGAGTCGGCTCTCCTGGCTATTCCCGTGTGTCAACCTATTATACGAGACTGGTTCACGAGCCACTGCACCTGACTTCCGCTTAACTGGACTGGCATCCTAGCCGATACCTTATAGGATTTACCCCGGGCACGCCGGAGAGGTCCCCTTTCCCGGGCTTTGTGCAGATTGGTTATTAGGTACCAGCGGCGTTGCCTCGCTCGAACTGGGCGGCCAAGGCGTTGTCCCATACCTATCCAATTGATCTGTCACTCAGCTCGGGTAATCCGTCCTCGAAGACGTACATACTGGGAACTCTTCGAACCTCAACAGGACTCTTCCTTGTCGTTCGTATATTCCTGCATCGCCATTGCGTGTATGCAAGCAATCTCTGAGGAGGCGAGTATGAAGCCCATGCGCAAAACATCGCAAGTCCAAGAATTGATGCCAACCTCCTGACCGATCAAGAACTTGGAGCAAAAAAGAGACCATCTTCTGAATCAGGAATCCATCTTTCCCAGAAGGTTACGCCGGAGTTGCCCCGAGCGCCCGATCTTTGCCGATACAAAACCCTCCTCTCTTCTCTATTTTCACGCTGAACAGTTTGCTCATTCACATGCTGGTCCGACGAAGCGTTGCATGATTCTGTGGCCGGGTAGCACGTGGTAGTCGACAGATGAGAGCGGGGAAGGCGCAACCAGTAGGTCCAGATGAAATGATGCCATTATGTAAGAAGAGTAGTACAGTGAGTCGGGGTATACATCGCTCACCTGAACGGCTTCCATCCATATTGTCCCGATCCGAATGTTCCGTGCGAGGATCCACCACCCACTCAATCCGTCGTCTCTCCAGTCGCGATCTCCTCATTGACCTCCCCATCGATCCACGCGCCGATAAACCTCAGCATCTGCGTCCTCTCCGGCTCCATAAACCTGCCCTCATCAGCACTCCCCCAAGCATGCAAAGAACATTACGCACCACATAGTCATAAAATCGTGCGGGCACCCCTCCCACTCCCTATACGTAAGCCTCACACGATCCCTCATCATCTTCCCCTTGAGTGTGCGGATCTCGTCAATGATCATCTCCACCGACCCGGGAATAAGGAGCGTCCGTGGCCAATGGAGGAAACTCGCATCGTCCCAGTCTTCAGCTCCTACATATATCTGCGCTCGCTCCTCCTCGCTACCCGGGAAGGGCTCGCCCGGTCTTAGCGAACCAGGGGAGATCCACGGACACCAGGGTGACACGCCTCCGCAGTAGGCGTGCACCGAATAGCTGCCCATGCTTTCCTCTAGCCCGAGGAGGTAGTCCGTCTTATAGTTCCGATATAGCGAGCAATCGGGATAATGATGCGAGTCTGTGAGGTCGCTCCACGGGCTAAGCAGAACAAGGCCGCCCAGGACAGGACCGAGAGATTCAGCTTCGACGAGGTACTTGCATAATGCTAATGCGAGGTTCCCGCCTGCCGAGTCGCCGGCGATGATTATTTCTCCAGGGGAGATACCTAGAGAGAGGAGGTAGCGGAACCCGGAGAGAGCATCCAGTAGCGCTGCGGGGAATGGGTTGGCCAAGGGGTTGGGGGAGGCGGAGGACAGCCGGTAGTCTACTGATAGGCATGCACGTAGCTTGTGTGAGTGATGGATGCTGTTGCCAGGGAGGAAAGAGGTGAAGTCGGAGGGATGAGCGCTTCCCGTCTACATCGAATTGCGCGTGAGAAACAGTTGGTAGTTGACCGGAGAGACGTACAATATAAGAACCTCCATGTAAGAAAAGCATAACCTTTCCCGTCTCCCTCCTCCCTTCTCCTCCTCCCAGCGCCTCCCGTTCCCTCTCCCGTCTCTCCATCTCCCGATACTGCAAAATATCTGCCTGACTCCTGCCGACCGTCGCTCGTCCCCTAGCAGGTCGCTCGACCTCCTCCCCCACCCAGTACCCTCTGATTCGCACACCTTGTACACCGGCGTGCTCTGCCCAAGCACGGAGAGGAGCAACAAGCTCCCGTATGTCAACAGGGTCGATCCATACGAATCTGGCTCGGTAGTCTTCTAGCTGGGCAAGCTCTCTCTCGTTAGGCTCTTGAGAGATGTCCCATCGGGGAAGGGCGTTCCCCATGTAGAACGTCTTCGTCGCCCATCTGATCAGCTGCGCACCGACAGCACGTCTCAACGGCCAAGAGGGCAGCGGTCTTGCAGAACGCAAAAAATAGCGGACATGCCAGTAGAGGTACAGCGTAGGCAAAAAGAGGATCTGGGATATTAGCCAGAGGGCGCGGGCAGGCTGTCGGTGATATATCGGTGGACTGGCGGAGATGCGCGCATGGAGCTCTTTCGTATGTCGGGGAGGTTCGAGCAGGGGCGTATCCTCAGATGATGAGGAGACAGTAGGAGGGTGGCCGCCCATTGGTGGTTGGTGTGAAGGTGGACTGCACGTCGTCTGCAAGGTGCATATATACGCGTCATCGTCCCCAGGGACCACAACATGACCACAGCTCTGCCGGCATCCATTCTACGCCTAATCTAGATCGTCAACTGTATATCACCAATCTGTATACTTCAACAGCCAATCCCTCGTCAGCTCAAACATGGCGAACGTCGCTCCTGCAGCAGGGATACTTCTGACCAAACTCGGGGACAACCCTCGGAAAAGCCCTCGCCATCCAGACTCTTTCATCACTATGCGCATCTCTTGGGTTATGTAGTCGAGTCCTTTTGGAGGATGGTCTGCCTGCTGGACACGGGACTTGATCACGTCGAGAGGGTAACAAGAGATCCAGTAACAGATCTGCAAAGAGGAGTATGAGTCGATGTACGAGTAGAAGATAGCAAGACGCACCCCTCCGCACGAGCCGCTGGTGAGCAAAGCCCAGAAAGGCAGATCCGGGCCATACTGCTTGACAAACCCTCTCTTGACATACTCATACCCAGCGTAAAACCCCGCATAAGCCGGTATCTCCCTTGCGACCGTCACCTGCACACCTCAAGCATCAGCACATGCGAGCAGGTGCACCGAGAGACGAACCCAGAAACCGCGCATGATCCCTTTCCGGAATCCCCAGTGTGTCCACATATCTGAGACGACATGCCTGAGCCTCTTATCCCCTGGCTGTCCATACTGCGCCTGCATGCGCACTTTGAACATTTCCACTATTTACGCAATTACAAATCTTGTCAGCCTACAACGTTGTGGGTATCGAGAGCGCGCACCAGGGGAAGCGAGCACAGAGTTGATCGTCCCGGCCATCGAACCCGCAAGCGCGATCTGAGGGATAGAGAGATCAGGATAAGGCGACACGACGCGTTTCGAGACCGAGTAAGCAGCAAAGAGGAGGGAGTTGACACCAGCGATGCCGATCAAGGGGGAGGCCATTCCTGCATCGTGGTAAGCTCGTCGCGGGAGAGGTGTTGGGGAAGTCACCTTTATATAACGCTAGAAAACCTTCTTTTCTCATCGTTTGCATTAAGATATCCACAGGGCCTTTCTACGCTAGTCATCTCAGCTCCTATCCCACGAACAGAGTAAGAACACTGACAAACATGCCCTCTACACCAAGTATCATCAGCACCCAACACACGACAGAAAAGAGGAAAAGACGCACTCGGAGCGATCTGCGCCCGAGTCTTGATCGTATCCAGGGGTTGACCCACGAGAACCTGAGCAGCGCCCCCCACCGAGCCGGCTATGAGTTCTACTACTAGACCAGGGCGCCGGTGAGGCCCTGTGAGGGGGGCAAGGGGGGAGTCGGGGTGGACGATGGGGGGCGGAGGTTCGGACATCTTGCGAGCCAGGATGGGAGGAGGAGGGGAAGCAGGTAAGGGGGGAGAAGGAGGTAGGAGAGGAGGAGGAGGAGGAGGAGGAGGAGGAGGAGGAGAGGGGGGAAGGATGAGGCGAAGAGGAAGAAGACCGGAATGAGCGCCTGTGCGAGAAGGGGTTCAGGGTCTATGATTCTCGCGTATCGGGCTCACCTCGGGCGTTACACCGATGCATACAACGATGCTTTATTCATATTATAAACGAATAAATTAAATCACTGATTTATTCAGACAACCCAGTGGAGGTTCGACAGCAAAACCTTCCAAAACCATGTAAAAACCATGATAAGTGCTCGAAAATCGAGGGAATCTTCCATTGTGCATAAAAGGTGTGCCCATTGACCGGATCGAACGATCGACCTTATCATTACGAGTGACACGCTCTACCACTGAGCTAAACGGGCTGCCGCATACCACGGGTCTAGACTTCTCATCACATATTTAAGATTGATTCCTCTTCGGCGACTTCGCAACAGGCACTTCTTCATACATTTGCCACCCACACAGACAACATATGACTGCACGTCCATTCTATTTCAGCCAAAAACTAACGATACCGCAACACAGGACCAAACAGCTTGCGATTCTACAGTAGCTTGCCGGAAGCGGGACAGAATCATCAACGCGTAGATAATGTCCAAGTTAGGTTATGGAATGGGCGTGGAGCGACACGCCCTGATACTACGCAGACAGGACTGGATGCCCCACGTAAAGGACAAGGAGTCCTTAGCCTCGGACCGTGTCTGCGGAGGAGAATGGGCAGCACCAGAGGAGAGGCCAGAGACCGGAGACAGAAAGCAGGCAGGGTTGAGCACGTCTGGGAAGGGGGATGAGCTCTAGAGGGCAGTGAAATTCGCCCGTGCGCAGACGCAGCTCGGAATTTACCAAGACTTCTTGTCCTGGTATCCTCGAGGCGGTGTCTGTGAAGGAACCAATCCCACCAATAGACCAGAGAACGCGGTATGTGGAGGGAAGAGGGGGGAGGCTTAGGCTCCTTCAGATGCAAGAACCTGACAAGAAGGACTACCAGTCCGGGTGTCAGGAGTGCGTCTGACTGGGAGACTAGCCTGCGGAGGGATTCGTTGGCACACTGGCGTAGGGGGGGAACGTGTGTACTGCAAAAGGTCGGAATGGTACTTGACGAGAGCGTGAGCAGGAAGGACTAATGAGCGAGACAAGCAAGCTAAATAGCGCGGATATGGCGAGCTGGGATGAGGAAGCAGAATAGTGCAAGTAGACGAGATGAGAGAGACAGCGAGGGAAGGGTGAGGAGGGGTTGATGTGACAGGGAGGGGATTGGATGTTAGGTTGGGTTATATACACACCCCACTAGCGGTGCAAGGACGAGACGATAGTTCTTCTCCTGCGGCGTGTCCTTCTCATAGGGTCTCTTCCCAGTCCGAGAGAAGTAGACAATCAAGCTGAGAATCGGCGATCCTAGAGAAAGCCGATCACCGATCGACGTCATCAGGAAGCGGACAACCGATTACCAGCGATTGAGCATTCCTCGCTCTACGAGCACATGGTCTTAGTCTCCCAATTTGGTCCATCTGCTCCTTATTTGGGAAGGAACCATCTTGCGTATTCTATCCTAGTCCAGTCGGATCAGACGCCGGAGCGGTCCTCGAGAAGCCGACATTCCTCCTGCGTAGCTCGTCGTCACTCCGCGCGGTCTTGATATCCCGAGAACAGAGGTCTTGCAAACGCCGAGTGAGTAAAATAGAACAGGATGGCCGACAAGAAGGGAAGAAGGGAAAAGCGGCCGAGTATTGTCTAAAGCTTTTAAGGACCGTGCAAGCATCCGTGAGAACAGGCAGTGCTACCTAATGCTATGGTGGCTATGCAGAACCCTTGCAGGCATAGCACTCTCATTCAATTATCTGAGGACCTAACAAAACCTGCATCTTCCCTTACCTCATATACTGGCTGCTGAGATCTCTGCCAACCTGACAGGTGGTTGCTTAAACACAAACACAAGAACATGGCATAGCTGTGCATCTATGCAAAGGGACAATGCCCACTCAGATGGTCCTGAGATGTTTGGATGAGCCTAGGATAAATGGCAGGATGTATGACAGACATGGATTGCTGACCCAGCTCAGAGTTAGTGAGCATCACTCACAAGATTGTCTCTCTTTGAGAACTGACAATTATTTTAGCTACTTACCTGAACAATATTAATAACTTTGCCTGTGACTCACAAAGCGGCTATGAAGTAATGGGACATCACATCATAGTATGGCAGATGCCCAATGCCTTTGGATGCCATGGTGAGGTGCTCAAGTTTGAAGCAACCTTGCATGGACTTTGAGCACCAATTGCATCATACGGCATCACTTTGTCCTGCTTTCAACAATGACCATCAATGCTTGTGCACCTTAGCTAGCATAGGTTGATCCAATCTGTCCAATTGACTTCCACTGAGTCTCTAGCTTTGTCTTGCCAATCTTCTTATCTTGGGTGGTTCACGATGCAAGGCAAGGCAACACTGAGGCTGCCCAACACTTGTCCAACCACACTTGCATCATGGAAATGGTCCCTTGATGCCCATAATGGTCTCTTGCATGATCCTTCTGACAACAAATGTATGCCGCAAAAGAAACAAATGGGGCATAGCAAAAATAGTAGATTGAACAATGCTGGTGCATGTGAGTTTGTTGCAGTTCCTTCAACAATGAGAACATCAGCTTCCCTGCCATCGCCAATATCTGCCTTCACATCTCCTGAAAGCATGCCAAAAGTGCATCTTGCAGCTTGCTGAGCCTTTGGCAAATGAAGACAAAACTTGAAGAGCTCGGACTTTGTTCAGCTTGGCAATCACCCTCAAGGTATCTGCAACTTTGTAGTCTTGTTTTCATGTCATTGAAGATATATGCACCTTCAGGTGCTCAAATACAGGAAGCCAATTGGCTACATCTCCCCAATCAGTCAGCAAATCTTCCACCCCTCCCCATACAAGTATGTGCCATCCCCAATATGACTGCTGCAACAGTCCCTAATGCCTGGTTCTTCTACTTCAAGCACCATCCACATACAGACCTACACACCATGGGTCCCACTCAGGAAGAATCTTTGTCCAACAGTACCTTATTTGAAGAGGTAAAGGCTTTGCATATGCACTCTATCCTGAGCCTGACTTGATTTTAGCCTGGTCAGAAAGCAACTCCCACTGGACAAACCCATGTTGGGTGAACAAGTGCATTGAAAGTAAGGTCTTCATCAACTTCCTCTGCAGCACCTTACATTGTGAGCATCTCCTCCCTATCTATGGCCCATTTCCTAATTGCTGTCAGCCACGAGAGGGTTATGGCATGACTGTGTATCCATATCCACAGGCTGTACAGGAAACTGTATGCAAGCCACCAAATGTGTGTGTACCCACATGCCTGACCACTCCCTGCACAGAGCACATTAGCTCAAAACAGAGAAGTGGCTGATATCAGTCAAGTTCAACATCTGCAGGTGCAGAACCCTGGCTTGCAACAAGATACTGGCAGGAAGATTCAAGACAAATACTCTGAAGCTGAACAATTGAAGACTACAACAATCTATGCTCAGGTATGAAAATCTGCATCACCCATTACCATGGCAAAGAAGATTCTTGATGCTCAAGAAACAGCTCTTCAGGAGCACAAAGCAAAAATCTGTCTTTGTGAACAAGACTTTCTCAAACACATTCAGCGTCAAGCAAAGGAACAAGCTGAGGAGCTTGTTGCCAACACTGTAGTGGACTCAGACTGTCTCCGAGAAGAACTGCACTGCACAAGAACCAGACATGCCCAAACCAAAGTGCACCTGCAGTGGGCTGGAGGTCAGCTTGCTGAACTGGAATGGCTGAAGTTAGAGGGCAAGAAATTGTCCATGGCCCTACTATGCAAACTTGAACAGACTTCAGAAGAACTGGCTTCTCACCTGAATATGTTTCTACAGGACCAGACAACTTCAATCTCTACTTCTGAAGTCTCCTCCACCTCTCTGCCTCATCAGAGCTCCATCTCTGCACTGGGCTTTCTCTCAGCACCCCAACCACTCAATAAACAGTACACCGTGAAGTGGGACAAGTCTAAGAATATCAATAAAGAAGTAGCCTTCACTCTGAACTTTGTATGCATATACACTGACATGATAGACAGACTTGGGATGTAACCAAGGAGTTTCTTAGCTCTGACCACAATGAAAGCAAGGAAGAAGACGAGGACCACAATAACAACAAAGAGTTAGAGGACAGATATGCAAGTGATGGGGCTATCACTCCACCTATCCAACGGCATTGCTTGGTACATCTCTATTTCTCATACCCTTGATTACCCTTAATGGGTTTAGTGCAAATTGACACATCAATACCACTTGCAGGTCAGCCCCACCAAAGGGATAGCTAAAGTGGGCACAACTGAAGGCCTAGATTTTGGTATGAGCAAAACGAGTGAGCACAATATCTGAATACAGCATGAAGTTGTCCAGGCAGTCTGGGATAAGATCTTGGTAAGTTTGTGGGAAGAAAAGAGGCAGATTCCACAGCTGATGAGCATAGGTGAAGTGTGATTCCTGGATATGGACCTCTGAACACATTCACCCACTGTCCAAAGGCTATTTGGTTCATCTCTTTCAGAGCATCACTTGGAAATCTCTTCAGTGTGCATGCAGAGAAGCAAACAATCCAACCAGAACAAAGAACATGAAGAGGAACAAGGGCCACAATTGCTATATGCAGTGGAGCAAAAAGGCATGCTGGCTTCTTTGTATTCAAGACTGTAGTCAGTGCTCATTGTGATACAGAAATATGGGCAAAGGCTGAAAGCATGTTCTGAATTTGAGAAAGCACATGGATGGGATCGGACTCTCTTTGTGATGCTGGACTTGATGTCAGATGAGTGGAGCTTGGCTGGTGAAGAGATGTGTCCTGGATACCCCAATTGGCACAAGTGGCACAACAAGTGGGTGGAGAAGATATCTCAACATCTACAAGTGCCCTGTTGCCTGATTGACTGAGGGTGCTTAAAAGTGTATGAGACTATTCCCCCAGGATTTCACCTACATTCAGTGTGTATCTGCTTTGCATCATAAATATTACCTGATTGTCCAGCAGTTGGACCATGTTTACCTGTGACTCGATGAACTGTCACATTGTCAAGAAGCTGGAATCCATGTCTTCCTAGGAAATGTTCACTTGAAACTCCTGAGCCATCCAGTACCTATTGCAGCAGTTGGTCAAGGTAGTGATTATGAAGGCTATGAAACCCCCAATGGCACCTTCCCAGTAAACAAGCAGTACCAGTGTCTGTCCATAAGCAAAGATGTGTGCAACAATCTCAAGAAATGCTGCAATGTGGATGTGACTTGGGTTCATCTGGAATCTGAAGCAGTTGAAAGTCATCTTGCAATGCAATATCATCCCATAAGTCATTTGGCTGGGATGCAAGCTTCCTACTGACAGAACTCCATGCAGATTCACCACATCACTTGGGATTCCGACACACAGAAGTCTTGCATGAGTGGGTTTTGCAGTGCAAGCTCATGAACAGTCCCCGTGCCTCTCACATTTAAGCATTACACCCCCATAATTCTTCTGAAAGGAGGAATGTTCACCTTCATGCACATAAATATGTACTGAGGAGCCTTCTCTTTGTATGTTCTATTGTATGCTTATGAATTATGAATTATGCACAACAAACATTATATCTTGACTCTGTTTTGGGTGGTCATACCATGACCTCTAGAGCCGATAGGCAGTTGACACCTGGCATGCTGAGCAGGGCATACCTTGACTCTGCTCTGGGTGGTCATACCATGACCTCTAGAGCCGATAAGCAGTTGACACCTGACATACTGAGCAGGGCATACCTCAACTCTGTTCTGGGTGGTTACACCATGACTGTGGAGCTTACCTGAACTTGTCTCTAATCATTCCATTCTGTCCCATTGTATCTTTGATAATCAGTAATGGGTGGGCATATATTTCTATGGAAAAAATACCAGACACAGAGAACCCAAGATACCAACCATCAAGATCCCAAGATATGAAGTGTTAAGATCCCAAGATACCAGGCACAGAGATCCCAAGATACCAGGCACAGAGATCCCAAGATACCAACCATTGGGATATCAAGATCCAGAACATCAAGATACCAGGATATGAGGTAAGGATACCTCAGCCAGACATTGAGACACTAAGATACAAAAGATTGAGATCCCAACATGCCAGACATAGAGATCCCAGAGTGCATTTGCTACTACAGAGACCTGAAGGTGAGATGTAAATATACCTGATCTTAAGATTCACTGCAGGGAGAGCCCAGCATGTTATCTTCAGTGAGTTATTTGGTGTGGACCAGATATCTGATGGGAAATGCCCCATAACCAGAAAAGCAGGGCATAGTAAATATATGTTGGTCAATTCTAAGACACATTATATCTGTATGTGGGAACTAAGTGAGACCCCTGACAGATGGTGATGTGGAACTTGGTGGTAGTCCACATGGGGTTGAGTCACCACACTGGGTGGTGCCTCCACATCCTCCTGTCAAAGGACCACCAGGATGATGAACCTGTGACACACCTCCCTCACTACTTTCAATTCCCCTGGCAATCCTTGCAATATCATGCTTAGGGTGTTTGACTTTGAGATGCAATCTCCATTCTAGAAGATCGATCACATTGCATCCAATTCCAGGTCCATAGATGGGTTTGATTCCTCACAGCTATGGACTGACCATGATGCCATTGCAGCAAGCATAATCCTAGGTGCTATCAAACATATCCACTGCACACATGATTGATTCCCCTGATAGTCTCAAAGAAGAGTTGCTGCAACCCATTATGTCCCAACATCCTCATGATAGTCCAGATTTACAGCCCAATGCAGATACCCCACTGCCTGTCCCAGACACATCAGAACAACTCAGCACAAAAGAAACATCAACACCTAATCAAGAGACCACTGCATTGCCTGGCTCTGAAAGCCCAGCTAGTCCTATCTCAACAACCTTGACTGCCGAAGCTATGCTGCAACACCTTGTTGCTAGCTTATACCAGTATGAACTGCTGCCTCCTTCTGATCCACTGCTCACAGCTTGGCCTGCTTCCTGGTCTTACAATTTGTATTCAAATGCAACTATAATCTCTCTGCTGGCTCCTCCTACTCAAATCTATCCTGTGCCTGGGGGCTACACATGGCCAATGGGCATGACATGGGAAGTGCAGCAACCAGCAGTGTCACCACCAACCATCACTCTGTCAAATCATTTCACAGCCTTATCTCACATGACAGTCCAAGCTCAGTGCCCCTTGGCAGGTCTGGTTAGAAGACAGCAGGCTGCAACTCCTTGTGGTACCCCTCATCAGAATAGGGGTGTTGCCCTGTATTACCCCTTGCATGTGCCCACATACCACCAACCTGATATCACCAGCACAGAGAATGTTGCTTTACCTGTCACTGTGTCACAACATGCCCATCTGGATGATATCAGATACAATGAACTCTATGATACCAAGGCTTTGAAGAATGTTCCTGAGTCGACAGGGGAGAAAGTCAACCTCCATTAAAATGTTGAAGCATATGTTCAATGCGTCCACCAGTATATCCACTCCAAGGAGCCTGAGTTTGAGTCAAGAATCTTACAACATTTCCTCACTTGGGTGTGCAATGCTAAGAATAATGAACATCAAGCTATTTTCTATGCAGCCCGATTGCATTTTGCTCCTGGTTCCCTGGTGGAACCTCATATTGTCTACCTAGGCCATCCTTTTGAGCTATATTTGTGTGTCTTCTTCTGTTTCACCCAATTCCATGCTGCAATGCTGATGGATTATGTTTAAAACCATTCCCAACATGGGTGCACAGATGCTAGCTGTTAATGTTGCTTACCTAGGCTTGCCTGATGTTATGGGATATGTGGATGGGCATTGTGTGCAAACAATGCTGACTTGGTGAATCCCATCTGCCCTTCCTGGTGACTGTTGTTAATTGAAGCTTTATGGGTGATGTCCACACCACTCTCAATCAGCCCATGGATTGGATGAACAACCTGCAGTGTTGGACTTCCCAAGTTTATGATACAGCAAGGCTGATTGGTTGCATTCACTGCACCCGTGAACTGCTGCACATGCCTCTCCTTCATGGTGTTGAGGACATCGCCTGTAAGTGACATCCTATGCAAGAAGGCCAGCCTCCTAGTGATTGCCTAAACTGCCAAAGAGGGTGACAAGCAGCAAGGGAGTGATGGAGGGCTCTCAGGCACCAGAGGGGCATCCTCCTCATTTGCTGCTTTGGCCAAGTTGATATAGTTATGATTACCAGACATATGAATATTGAAGCACCTAGACTCAGGTAGGCTGTTAAGACATTTTTCTCAATCAAACTACTGCCTTCTTCCAAACATCTTTCAAACACCCCATTCATGCAACTTCCTGAAGGTCCCTCACAATCAGGGTGCCAATTGTCTCCAATTGTGTTGGTGGTGGTCAGAAGAATTTGAATATTGCCTGCACATAGCCCCAATGATATATGATCTCCATATCCCACATCCTGATGGTGAGTGTGCTATCTGCCCTCTTGTCAAGCGGGTTTTGCTCAAACTTGGAGAGGAGGAAGGGGTCTTCTGTATCTGTAACCTTGCTCAGTTGGTTACTGGCCTCTTCCTGCTCTTTCAAATCAATTGCTTTGGGTTGTTGCTCCTTGATGCATACAATCTGGGGATAGACAGAGTTTGGCAATGTTGCATCATACACAGAAAGCCCACCAAGCGCAAGAACAAATTCCATATTCTCTGGTTGCTGGATGAGATCCGAGCTCAATGAGTCAAACATGAGGGATATCATGTCACTACCACCTGGCCAGAGGGTGAAAGTGCCCTGCGTCAAACACGCAGACATGCACATCTTCATGACATCCTGCAGAAGGTTGATACTTTGGGGAATGACATCCTTGTCTGAGTACTCAATCACATTGTAAAGCTCCTGGCGCTGATCATTGTCCAGAGTTGCTGAGGGTTCTTCCTCTTCAGCAGCAGTGGCTGTTGCAGCAGTCATGCCCCACATGCAGCCAAACCACCCTCCAGATGCTGCGCATGTGGGCTGAGCCAGTTCTGGAGGTGCTGGGGCTTTTTCCTCTTCTTCCTTCACTTTCATCTCGGCTTGCTCTTTCCACAACAGAGAATGAGAGATGGAATGGTAGAATCAGATGTCCTTGTAGGACAACTTTTTCTCCAGAGCATTGAAGTCATTGAGTTCCTGTGCATATAATCAGAAATATATCCAGGGTATGTCAGGGAAATGAGTGCACAGGAACTACAAATGAGGGCTTTGTGCACTTCTTCTTGAACAGATCAACATACTTACATCTTTTGTCTCTTCTATTCTTGAAAAATTCCCGTGTCCATTGATAGTGTTTGTCATGCACCTCAGGTAAGATTGACATCTGCAAAAATTTCCACATAGTGCGGCTCTTATTCTTGTCAAATTCATCCTGCACTGGTCAGTACTTGCAGTACTGATACTGCCATGTATAGAAGTGGAAAAGCTTGCCAACAGAGAGCATGTTGCGCTACTGCTTATCATCCAAATTGAGGCCAATCTCCTCAAACATCATGGTGGCATCAATACATGTATGTGGTTCCCCAGCCAAGGGCCAATGTGACATTACCAACTGTATGGTGTTGAGCAAGAGGAGCACCCCCAAGTTGTGGATTTGTGTACCTTTGCCTCTCTTGTCACCGGCTTCAACACATAATCATTGAGTCATTCATATGGGTTTAGCAATTAAGAGGAGAAGGAGAAAAATGAATGAATGGTCCATGACTTCTAGAAGCATACATCTCTGTGAATGCGCTGCTTGCATTGCACTTTGCCTATGATGAAGATTGGTGAACTGACAATGAGCACTGGTGTTTCCAGGTTGACCTTGCTTGACCATCTCAGCATGATCCAACACTTGACAGAGTCCCAGAGCGGCAACAGCCAATTGTGTGATTCCAGCCAACTGTAAAAATTGATATCCTAATACAATTATCTGTTGGGGAAGTCAGTTTTCCAGGTGGAGCAGGAAAGCACTGCTCACATTCTAACCTCCACCCTATGTTAAGCAGACAGCTAGCCAGCATTCATTTCATGCCCATTATCCTTCAACCCAACCATGGTTCAAATTAGTTTCATCTGGAAAACCACTGCAATCTCACTTCCTTTGAAGTCAGTGGGGAAGTGGGTTGTATGGCAAAACAGGCCATCTTGCTGTTTCTACTCCCTTCAACCACACAATCCACCATCAGTGCAGGGCAGAACAGAGAGACATTTGCAGCATGCACCAAGGTGGAGAGTGTCAAGATCAAAATTCTCCTGGAACCACTCATCATCCGCAGCAAGATTGGAGCCAAAATCCCTTCCAAATGCCTGCAAAGGGCATGACTCCCTGATATCATGCAGTCATGGTAGCCACTCCTGAATAAGAAAATGCTTCATGTCCTTCTGATGATCATTGATCTCTGATTGCCATTGAATCCTCTATGCATGCACACAGTCACAAATTGCTCACCAGGCAGGGCTGTGGGATTCTGCAGAGCAGTCGCAAGTCAATCAAGGACAAAATCCCTCATCTCACACACCTCCGTGGCCTTTTGAAATGCCAGAAGGACTAGCAGGATGTGAAGGCTCCCTGAAGACAACAAGGAAGTTAGACTTTGGAGTAAAGGAGTTCTATAATGAAGCTTCTCTTACCTTCTGCAGCTAATTTTGCCACATGGGCACCCTCTTGGTTGTAGCAGTCTATCTGACAGCTAGACCAGCTGTTTGCTATATTGGAAGGTAGAATATATTGGAGATAAAATGCCCAAGTTCCCAGATTGTATACACACTGGATACTTCATGGAGTCAGGGCAATTCTTTTGTGAATTATCTGAGAAACAACATACCAAGACACCTTACTGTGAAATGCCATAGCTAACATCCATCACTGCCAAATCATGAGCTCATGATCTCAATGAGTGACTTGCAATGCCATCAGAGTGTTTACCAGTCTACATCTTTGATATCACCATCAAGTACCAGTTGTGACAGAGTGCCACAAGAACATGTTTTGATCCACAGATCCTTGACAAGATCTGCACTTTTTGGGTCACATATATTGGCCAGGCAACAGATGAACTTGTACTCTGACATGCGTGGTAAAAGGGTGAGGCTTCCTATCTGCGTCCCGCTGTCTGGAAGAGCTTGTTCTCCCTGAGCAAGTAGTCTTCCATTTCCACATCCATAGAAACATTGAGCCCTGTTTGAGATTTTGTCTGCTTGAGAGCAAATTTCTGAGAGGTTGGAGAATGAAGGGACTGCTCATCATCAGATTTCTGCTTTTTTGACTTGCAAACAGGATGTGCTTTGGGAGAGGTGACAGGGCTTACAAATGGTGAAGTGAGGGACTGGAAACTGCTGCTTGTGCTGGGAATGGTCAAACCCTCCGATCCGTCTCCATCTGTCATACGTGGGCTTGAATCACTGGAGATTGATGAAGCAGGAGATCTCAGTAATATTCCTTAGCAACCATGAATAAGTGGAGCAATTGAGCTTACTGTGATCTTGGACCACTTGTACCTGAGACCTGAGTCTCAAAGTAGCCCATGACTTTTCCTAGCACTGCTTTGATCATCTCAAGGTCTGCTTTCCCAAATCATTTTGGCAAATTTGCACCAGGCCAGACAACTTTGCCAAATTGTGCAGCTTGGCCTCCTGATGATGAATGGAAGGCATATGTTCAACATGTTCTTCTGTAGAACCTTGAGCTGATTGATTGGGCAGAGGTCTTGGAGGACCAGAAACCCCACTTCTCATTGGGCTGCATGCATGTTCTGGTCAAATAACGGTACTTGCTTTGTCCATGTTGCAATATTAAGAACTGTTCCCTGATTGAGTAGGGCCAATTCGAGCAAATTCCACTAAGAAGCTGAGGAACTTTGATGGGTCAGAGCCAAGCAACCCACCAAAATGGTAGCAGATGTATTTCCAAATGGAATGCCTCCTCTGGCCTGGGGAGGAACACAACATCAGCAATGGATTCCCACCATACAAATTGAATAATTACCTGAGAAGCAGTGAAGGTTTCATAGAGGGATTTGAAAGATTGAAGATAGGTCTTAAACAAGAGAATGAGTGAATCAGTCAATAGTTGGCATACTAGTGGTGGTTTGGCCATATGCAGTACAGAGGAAAGTTGCTTGCCCTGACCCCTGGCTCAGATGCAAATGATGTTTATCCTTGACACAAGCATATGATAAGCTGCCATGGCAATGCAAATGCCCCCACCATGTGCAACATCTCCTAATATTATCCAATGGTGATGACTCAGCTACGGTCAAGTCATGCAATAGAATCACAGTTCTCATAATGACATAGACACCTGGCGTAGGTGGCTGGATGTGCTTCTCTTGCCTGTATGCTTCTCATCATTGATGTGATCTACTCGGTGACTTGGGGGTTCCACCCCAGACAATCATCAAGTTGAAACATTGTTCTTGTTGAGTGGGCCCTTTTCCAATTGGGAATACATCTCCTGATAGTGCTTTGAACAACACATCAACCCATCCTCAGTACTTTCAGTTCTGTCTCTTTGCCAGTACCGGACCTCAAGGATCAAGTTCCTGGAAGGCACTTTGTGAGCCAGGTTCCAGATAGCAATGTTGCAACATCCTGCTTTATTCCATGCACAACAGACTTGCCTGGACCACATAATACCAACCATCATCTCTGCCCCTGTCCAATGATTGGGATCCTGGTCACCTGCCATTCTTACACATGAATTGATCCAGCATGCAGGAACACCATCAGAGTGATAAAAATGGAGGGTTCTCAATTTGAAGACCCAATCCAAATTATCCTGCTTGACTATGTGTTGATACCTCATGCATGGCATTGAAAGCGGTATCATGGTTGAGGAGAACCATTCGGGTCTTCATGGATGCTTGTTCTCAGGATTTGCCACCTATTCCTCCTATTTTCAGCACTATTATAGTCTGGTCACCAACATGGATGTGTGAGACATTGTTCTTGTTCTGTCATCCCATCACTTGAGTTATATCTAGCTATGGTAGCAACATGTTTGGGCTGCAGAAAGACCTTTGGAAACTGGGCCAGGCTGAAGCAGCATGCAACACAGTGGAAAAGAACCCCATGCTTTCAGTACTCAGAAGCACACTGGGGTTCTGTGGATAGCAAGGATATGTCGGACTCATCAAGTGACAACAATAACAAACAACGTGAAGAGACATTTATGATTGAAGGTACAAGTGTGTTCAACATGCTGCAGGAGAAGCTGGATGTGACCTCCCTTGGTTTTCAAACCATTATTGCATACTTCAGATCAAACAAAACCTGGGCAAAATACATGTGATTTACAACACAACATATTCCAGGCTCCTCAACTGGGACTATCGGAGACTCCCTGATCAACATGGATGTATACCCCTGCTGCTGGCATTCCCCTCCCAGGCTGGAGGGAGACACCTTATGCAGCATATGCTGGCATCAAGGAAGACAGCAATCAATGGGGCCCCTTCTCTTCACCTTTCAGCTTTCATCTTGCTCATTGGCTGAAGGCTGAAGGCATAGATTACACTGCTACTGACAGGCTCCTGACTCCCCTGGTAAGCTGTGTGTATGCCTTCAGGTTGACACAACTCAACCCCTTCTTGAAGTTTGTTGATCACGCAGGGATTCCTTTCAAGAGTTCTTACAAGTTGAATAAACTTATTGACCATCAGTTACCGGTTCCTCAGCTAGACTGGGAGAAGATAGAGATTCCTCTGGTTGGACATTCTCATATCTCAACCTTTCACTGTTGGTCACTCCTTGGAGCTATTTGTTTGTTGTTTGGCAGTCTGTGCCTTCTAGAACACTTGCACTTTGCTTTGGAGCAACATTTTGCAGATGAGGCCCAAGAAAATTGTCTCTACTCTGAGATGTGGATGGGAAATTAGTGGCATCATGTTCAAGTAACCTTCCTCCCCCCTCCTTCTCCAAATGTTCTCCTAATAATCATGATACAGGGGCAGCTACCTCATGGAGCTACTCTTGTTCCAGTCATACTGGCAACAGACAAAACCCAGCTCACACAATTCTCTGGAAATAGGCAAGGCTATCCAGTTTATTTGATGATCAGCAACTTACCCAAGGAAATCAAAAAATCGATATCTATGTGATCTTGGATGCTCATTGGACTTCTGCCTATGGATTTGTTTGACAAGATGGGGCTGACCAATGAGGCTGCAAAGGTTGCGCAACAGCACCTCTTCCACTTTTGTATGACTCAACTCATACAGGAAATCAAAAGTGCTGGCATGGAAGGTGTTGAAATGGTCTCTGCTGATGGTCTCATCAGACTTTGCTTCCCTATCCTCAGAGCATACATTGGAAATTATCCAGAGAACTGTCTTGCATCTTGTATGGCCTACATTTCTTGTCCAATTGGAAATATTGGTAGACACGACATGGGAATATGTCAGGGCACCAGCTCATTGCTTGGTCAAGAGACATGACCAAGCCTTTATGACATGGAAGTAGCTGGTATACCTTGGCATGTGCTGGAACCTGCTGGAAGGATTGGATGGTCAGGTGACCTGCTGTGCATGGCTGTGCATGACCTCATATGACCTCATCCTTGGTCATATGACCTGACCACCTGACTAGGCTGAG